TGTTCCATCCAGCTCTTCCCTGAAGAGATTATTGTGAGACAAGATCCGCTACGTCGCAACTGGGGATGAAGCATAGTCCTTTAGGAATTTATACGACTTTTTTGAAATATTGAATTTATATACTTTGGGATAGAAGCGGTCTAATATCAAGGGATGAGTCTCTCAAAAGGACAATAGCCAATAAAATTTTGTATTTTCTAAAACTCATGGCGACTCGGAGCACTGGGTTTGCTGGCTTGCCAATGCGAAACATGTAGCAAAAGCAGAAAAGGGACACAGGCAGTAAGAAGTGGAGTTGTAAAATAGTCACGGTGGCAGCCAAAGAAGCAGAAAACACACTGACTGCCACTTGTGGCATGGTGGCCCTTTATAACTTTAATAGCTGAGCCCTTCTGCAATCCAATCATGACTCAATGTGCTCAGCATGCCATGCCTACCTACCTACCGACATCCTACTTACCTACGCTGTCGTTAGCCTCTTTCGTTGAACTGATTTCGATTATAAGCAAATACATACATACCAATATATAACCACACTTACATATACTCGTATATATGTATTGTTGTTATATGTATGTAGAGAATACCAACTAAGCAAACTAATCGCTCCCTTCCACATCAACTTCGCTTGCTGTGGCGGCGGACTTCTTCCGTTTTTTCGGGTCGGAAAAATTTTCAGCTAACAACATGTTGCAGCACTAAATTACCCTGCACACGGGGCACACACAAGCCGACACAAGAAAGAATTCGATTTAGATGCGTCGCCACATTTTGTGGTAAGTAAGTAAGTATAGAAGAGAGAGAGCCCTAAAAAACGCCTGCAGGCATCAATAGGGTGGAAGGTTTCAGCGATTAGAAATTCGAACAGGACAACAGAAGTGTTAAGGCGGCCAACGATAATACGAAAGATACATCAAACTTAAGATACACATACATATATATGTCTGTACATCAGCCAGCAGGCAGGCTGTGGTATCAGTAGACACAGACGGCAACAACTACAACAGCAAGTAAAAACGTAAAGGCCAAGAGACAGCAACAACGACAGCAGAAGTATAGTCAACTGGCAGCTATGGCCACAAACAAGCCAGCAGCGGTTGCTGCTTGTAGCGACTGTTACTTGCAGTCTTTTTCATCGTCTGTCCGCCAATACGCTTTACGGTGTTCCACACACAGAGTGGCTGTGCCTGCCTGCAGTCCATACAGGCAACTGCAGTTTGTATGCCTTGGCAATTGGCTCGATGTGCAAAATACATACACACAGATCGATATATGTATATAAATAGCAATGGCAGAAGATTGTTGTATAACTCATGCATACGTGTACGAGTACATGCAACCATTTGTGGCATTGAAAGGCTATAATAATGTTGCTTCTCTCAACACAAATAAATACAGACAGGCCCTTTATACTCACTCGTAATGTCATGCCATAAGGTACCACAAGCTCCATATAATGTTGGCATTGGCGTTGCACTGCATGAAGGCCCAGTTGCAAGTTGCATTAGTAGCAAGTTGGCGCGCAGCAATGCGAAATGTAGCAATCGCAGCTTCTAATGTGCGATGAAACTCATTTGGAGTGTGTCCTGTTGTAGTAAAATATATGGAATATGAATTATACATATTGTACATACATACATACATATATATTGTACACGAGTGACATGCACTTCAGATGACTCCGTGGTTTGTTTGCAATTGAGATTAAATGCTGTTGCCACCGGCTTGGTGCATAGAAATGCCTGGTGTTGTTGCCAAGACGTGTGAAGACATTTCAAATGCAGTAGCTCGCCTAAGAATTTGTTGTTAGTAGCTGACATATACATACATACATATGTATATTTTTACATATAGAGAGCACAAAGAAGAACAGTAGGAAAGGTTAACTTCTTTGACGACCGTTATAACAAGCAAACAGAAAAATTCCAGGGCAGAGTGAGCGGTCTTACTCAGCTTACAGGCTGACAGTGTCTCCACAGAGCTGTTCTAATACAGTGAAATGGAGTTCATAAAGTGCCTGAAAGGGCAGGTAGACAAAAGATTATGGGAAGAAGTTGTTGAAACTGCAATTGACATGGCATTCACCATGCATCACAGACCGAAGATAACCGAGAAAAAACGATTTTCGAATACCCGAACTCAAAGTTTGCAAATTTTTCAATATTTGATCTCTTTGATAAGTGTATTAATTTTTCAGAAAGAATCAGACTTTCACTTACATTACTTTTTAAATGCTGGCCGCGGCTACGCCTCAGAAGGTCCATCCCTTGAATACAATTTTCGTTGACTCGTTCGAACATTTCGACTGGTAACTGGCAAATGACACGCATATTGTTTTGTTCCAAGGTCTAAATCGAAGCGAATTCGTCCGTATAGACTTTAGAATTTACATATCCACCCAGTAAGAAGTCTAACGGTGTGATGTCCCACGATCTTGGTGGCCAATCGACCCGGCCCAAAACGTGAAATTATCTGCTCACCGAAAAGTTCCCTCAATAAAACCATTAATTGATGCGATGTGTGGGAAGTGGCGCCTTTTTGTTGAAACCAAATGTCTCCAAGATCACGAGCGTCAATTCCAAGCATGAAATAGTCGGTTATCGAACCACTATAACGGTTTTGTTGTAGCGCTTCGCTAACCCCCCTTAGGTACAGGTTTGATAAATCTATGTCGCCGAGGTCATCTAGTGGGGGATCCAGGAAATGTGTTGTTTCGTCGGGATTGTACCAGAGGGAGAGGTTGGGGGTTGGATGAGTCGGTTTAAGGGGGCATGTGAAGAGGTGGTTAGTGTCCTGTGGAGCCCCTCCACACGCAGGGCATACATTGGATATGCTGGAGACGAGCTTGAATAAGTAGGAGTTTAATATGCTACAGTATCCAGACCAAAGTTTTGCCAAGGTCACGCGGGTCTCTCGGGGCAGCTAGAGCTTGTGATTTTTCTCCGAGCACGTCATTCACTGGAAGGGAGTCCTTGAAGGTGTTAACTGACTCCTAGTGAATGGCGTTCAATGCTTATCTGTACGCCGTCCTGTCCAGCGGTTGTTGTACATGTTGCTGGATGTGGCTTTTATATCGAATACTCCCTTTCTGGTGTGCCAAGGGCGTGGTTCAGTTTCGATGAGATGCCTATTGGGGGTGTTTCCTGCGCAATAACGGTCGCCATTGATGGTTATGTTTTTACCGGCATCTTTTTTGTAGAAAAATAGACCGATGATTCCACCGACCCACAAATCAAACTATATCGTACTTTTTCTGGATGAAATATCAGCTCTTGAATCTCTTAAGCTTGCTCAGTAGGCCGATTATGTTGACCAAAAGTTGAATGAAGCTCACGAAACACATTATTTACAAAACGATTAGTAAAAGCTGCTCAGGCGTAAGTAAGTCTCTCCATGAAGATGATAGCTTGACACGACTCACGCGTGATCTGTCAAAACTCGTAGCGCCCACCCTACGATCGTCTGCGCTTAGAGAGGTACTTAGCGATCCTGATGGAGCTTAAAGTCAGTTTACATAGCCAATAAGTTTTGCGGTGATACCATACTCAGACATTGTGGCGTAGAGGCAACTCCTCACTGTGCTGTCGAAGGCTGATTTAAAATGGAGGAGAAGTTGATATGATCTATTCTTTCTTCATGGGCCTTTTACATGATTTGGCGCATGATGAACACCTGGTCGATCGACGACGCTAAATAAAGTCCTATAAGCGTTGCCGAGAAGACTAATTCCACGGTGTTTAGAACAGACCATAGGGTTTCGCTTTTCATAGATTGCGCAGGGCACACTTAGTCTCCAATCGTCGGCCATGATTTCGACCGACCATATTCTGCTAAGAGTTTGATATATGTATTTACCTTGCCAGCTCTTCGCCGCCATATTTGAACAGCTCTGTCAGTAAGCCATCGGCGCCAGCCGCGCATGATCCAGTTTTAAGACCTTTCCTAAGTGGACGTGTGCTTTTCATAGAACTGTGAAGCATTACCCCTGTCGGTCAGCTTCTGAAGCTCTTGATAGGCATGTATTTCGTTCTCTTTCTTTATTTTAATAATAATAAACTCGTTTTGCTCTTGGTATCAATCCCACCTCGCAGGTGTTGTGCTACATCGCTACTTCGCAAGGTAAGCAGTCTTCATAGTACTAACTCTTTTTTCGTAGCGTCGGTATGTAAGGAGTGTGAGATGACGTACCACAATTCTCTTATGTCTCAAGTGCTCAAGTCGAGTAGAAAAGCGTTAGAAGACGGTTTTGTTTGCAGCTTTTGACTTCGAACCTAACTTGTGCTTGTTGACCAGCATTCTACAGTGCACAGAAACGGGTGTGTGCCTGCGCGGCGACAAAATAGTGAACCGAGTCGATGTTAGGTCCGCCGAAAGTACTTATATATAGCATATTGAAGACAAGTCTTCCGTGATTTTCGATCCGAGGGCAGTTTAATGAATTTTCTTAAACCGAAATCTGCTACTACAGACATTTTCGGACCCCGGCAAAGTCGATTAGCCTCAGTGCGCTTGTGGATGTTTCATCGTGGAGGCTATACTACCCGGACAACTGTTCAGAAAATACCTTATTTGCTCGCACTGGCATCGAAGTTTCCAAGCACTATTTCGACATCATTGCTTAGTCAACAATGGTGTGTGTGTCTAGTTGCTCATAGAAAGCGTCTTAAGTCAAATCTTCTCCCTCTTCTGTCAGGGAATGGTCGCAAATCAGCGATGTGTCGAAGAACTTCGCTTTGAAGCAGATTGTGACAAAACGTTCATCCACCGCAGTGAATACCAATACTCGGCAACGACTTTACGCTCTCTTAGATGACCGCTGTAGTGGACCTCACAAGGATCCACCATCTTCCGCCCTTATCCCATTCATTGCACATCAACCAGCTGAACAGCAGCAAGGGATCCAAGCGTAGCGAGCTTGCGAGCTCTTTGCTACTTGTTCATTTCAACCTTGTACAACTTCTATTACTTTCTCATTCTGTTTTCCTTTCAAAAATGTATTCATACAATAATATTTTCTAAACTAAGAACCCGCGTTTTGATATCTTCTTTGCCATAGATTAATACATAATATAATATTAACGTACATAACCTTAATAGATATATACATATATACATATATTTTTAACTGCACTTTTTTTTATAAATCAACACGATATTTTAAGCCGTCAAACGTCCGTAAGATTAGCGCTTCGTAATTATTTTTCAAATTTCTAACAACAACTCAAAATGGACTTGGACTTGGAGCAGGGCAGAAAGAGCATCGCACAATTCCGCAAGAGTATCTATGGTGGCGATGAAGTGGAGTTCGCGGATATATTTCATTACGACATGGATGAGCAGGATCACACCAAGATACTGACGGTGATGAGAGACTCTCTGCATCATCTGCCAGATTCATTTCGTGCTGATATGTTTGAAAAATTAATCGAGGATCACCCGGAACTACGTTGGGACACGGAGGAGCCGGAAATAAGGAAGGAAGATGTGCCCGAACTGCTCGCATATGAGAGTTTGTTGCCTCATCGCTGGCAGTCCATACACGATGAATTCGATAAGCAATTGCGCTCATTCAGCAGCACTTTCTCGATACGCGATCCCGATAAGTTTTGGACTCTAATGCAATTGCAACGTCATCCAGAATTTGAGCTATCACGCATGTACGCCATACAGAAATTGGCCAACGATGTGAACAACTCTTTGTATATGATCTACAAAGTGAATCAGTGTAAAAATAAGGATTTCAAATTAGAAGATTACGATCACTTTCAAGTCTTCAGCTGGACGGTAGATCGATTTTTGGCTCGTCGGCACCTAAAGGGCATTGCTTGGGTGGATATTTTTAAGAAATCTTTAACCGAAAAATGTTTGGATTCCTTCAAATTTCGTTATGATATTATGGAATTGGTGCGTCTATTGAAGCCGTACTTTTTGAGTTTCTGTACGAAGAATAGTGTGCTCGTGGCGGAAACATTAGAGATGATCAAGTAAGTGTGAGTGGATATATTGTATTTAATTTAAGCGAGAAAAGCGAACCCGAGATTTCAAAACTTTTATACCGAGAGTCACATTTCTTGATACTTCACTACACTCCAACTCAACTCGACCAAAAATAGCCTGCCGTCTAAGAAGCGCACTCACTTTTCATGCGACCTTCAAAGCGAGCTCCGAATAAAGATATGAACCACCTCGGCCTAAACTAATCTGATTTTTCGAGCCTTTCTGTCTATCATTTGGATGACATCCCAACATTATCTCCACGTCAAAAAACTGTCCGTTGTTCACGGAAAACGAAATAACTTCTTTTTAGTACTCGACTCCATCAATCAGTTTTTAAGGCAGCGTTCTGAAAGACATTTCAAATATTCCCTAAACCTTTAAGAGAGTTCTATGAGTATGTTTCGAGAGACGACTCTTCTAGTTCTGATGTGTACTTTTTGGTAAGTCTTGAGCTGACTGTTTCGTGATGTTTTGGTATAAAGACTCGACTATCGCGAGTACTACTAGACTTGAGTCATCTCTTACCGTAGTACAGCCTTACCATTGTTAAATTCTTGAAGAATCTGTCTGCCACAGGGTGGGATCGTTACGACAAACTTGTTGAGTGGATGTTATCGAACTTGACAGTACTTAAAAAATGAAAAGCTAGGATGCAATATGAGCGTCGAAATCAATTTCGTGCACTCAATAGAAACTTTGTGATAATAATTGGAGATCACAAATCTGTCTCTTTCTTCGCTGAACTATATCAATGTCATTGTATAGCTCGTAGGATCATCGTTTTCTTTCGAATACCGCCAAGGAAGACTTATCGCACACCGATGTAATCCACGCTTCAGCACCGTATATTAGGACCGGTATGATGAGGGACTTGTAGAGTTTGCTTTTCGTTCATCGAGAGAGGACTTTACTTTTCAACACGTGAATTGTCAACTCTTCTTTGCCTTGTTTCCATAGCTCAACTGTTAAGTCACTAGCTCCAGCTGGTTTGCTGTTCTTTAAACAGTTAAACGGACCGCAAATGGCGAGAATTAAGCACATAAGCGGACATTTTGGAGCGTGAATAATACGAAAACACGAACAACTGTCACTGAAACGGCGGTTACAATTCGTTAGGCACTGTCCACACTCACTTTAAAGGCATTATCGTCTATGTATTTCAACCAGCCTCAGCCGATACACCCACCTATCGGAAAACGACGGAAGCAAAGTTGTGCACCTGATACAATGAAGGATCGCCGGTAAAATGACTGAAGATAAGAAATGACAGAAAACGATAACGATAACGTAAATCTATCTCTTTCCTCGCTGAACTATATTAATGTCATTGTATAACCCGTATAGCTAATCGTTTTTTCTCGACACATCGCATATCGATATACGAGTAGTTCACGCTTCAGCACTGTATACTAAGGATCTGTAGAGTTCGGTTTGGACGATATTGTTGTCGATGGCGTTGAACGGCATACCAATGTTGAAACAATGTCATTTTCGCTGACGATGACGACATTCAGCCTTATGCTGCACCTACCCATCGTACATACCGCACAGCCATAACACCCGACTGTATTAGCATATACAAATACGAGTATTTTCTGTGGGAAAACCGTCAGTAGCGGCATGGGCAAGCAGTGACAGCTTTTCATTTATTATATCTCATAAGATAGGTTGCCATGGACGGAATCGGAAGGTGGTAAGATGGGTAGTTGCAGCATATGACTGTATAGTTTTGAGGTCTCATCATTGTCTGTAAGCGCGAAGTATTCAAACTCAAGATTTATGATTTTTTTACGTCTTCTTCTTAGAAATGCAAGCAACCTACTGGAAATGCATAATAAAATCACAGATGAATTGGAGAAGAGTGTGCAATATTTTATGGAGAAAATCGATCAAATAACCAATATTTCGGTGCAGCGCCGCAGTGTGGGCAGAGATGTCGTGATGAACTACTTGGAAATGGAAACACTGGCTTATATTGGTTTGTTCTTTTTGGGTTCTAGAAATTTAAATATATATATATATTTTTTTTTATAAGGTGGATCAACAGAAAAGTGCGCCTTTTTTGGCTTAATATCTTTTTTAACATAGACAAAAAGATATTTTCGGAAATGTGATATTTTCTTATTTCCACTTCCATAATTTGTTTAAATTTTATTATAATTGGCATTGTCAAGAACGGTAAAAAAAACCCTAACTAAGCCCTTATGAGGATTCTCGTTCCCCCAAAAGCGACAATTTGCCTTGAGCTGACATCGATTGTTGTTTTAGCTGGATTTTATATGGACGTCCCTGTGAGTCCAGGAGCAAAATACGCCATAATGTGCTGTAGAAAAGCCCCACCTCTTGAGAACAGCGTCGAGAAACAGACCTAATCGGGGTTTCAGCTACACTTACACTTTCAGTGGTAATATTTAAAGTGGCACGAGCAAGCCTATGATGCACAGTCTTTACATATTTCTTAAACATTCTTCCAATTGCTTGATTGGCTGGACGATTACTATGTGTACCAGAAACTGCTCTTTAAGCACGAAACGTGTCCACTTTTGAAACACCACTTTTATTGTAGATTTTAACAATTCTAACCCTAAAACAAAACATGTTAGGTTTGACATTTAATTTTGTCCATCTATCGGTGAACCCTTTACTTACGGTAAAGGGTACTTATTCTACTTCTAGCAAATCCCACTGGGTGCCAGGTACTTGATTCCTCCAAGCAAAAAGTGTCCCATTAAGCCATAACATCCCGCAATTTTTTTTCAAATGTCTCGATCTCTTACCCGCAAAAAAAAAAAAAGAATTTCAAGTACAAAGAACCATACCTATATATATAAGGTCAAGTAAGAAGTTCGTTCGGTTTTTATCTAAGAGACGGCGTTATTAGTTCATAGTACTAAAGTTACTTGTCACATCGTGTCATACTATACGGCGCTGAAAACGAGTTTATTCGCGCTAAAAGTTTGTCTTTGACAGTTTTTCGATTTATTGACACAGTACGTTGTGAGCGCTCGTCAGAGATGGACACCAGCAAAGTGAAAATTCGATATGTTTTTGTTTCTTCGATCAAGGCGAAAAGGCAGGCAAAGGGACTAAAAAATTAATTTAGTTTATAGGCCCGATACTGTAAACGAACGTGTAGCACAAAAGTGGTTTGCTGGGTTCCATTCTGGCAATTTCGATGTCAAAGTTGCACCACGCGTCGGGAGACCTGTCGAATTCGTCGAAAATTGCGATAAAATCACAGAAATAGTGTCAACAGACCGTCACGTGAGCACTTATTTATTTGCTGAGGAACTAAAGATAAGCCAGAAAACCGTTTGGAACCGTTTGCATAACCTTGAATTCGAAAAGGAGCTCGATGTTTGAGTGCTACACGAAGTAACGCAAAAAAACATGATGGGTCGACTTTCCATCAACAAATCCCTGCTGAATCACAACAAAATCGTCCCGTTTCTGAAGCGGATTGCGACTCGCGATAAAAAATGGGTCCCTTACGACAACATCGAACGCAAACAGTCGTGGTCAAAGCTCGGGGAAGCGGCCCAAACGGTGGCCAAGACCGGATTAACGGCCAGGAAGGTTTTGTTATGTGTTTGATGGAATTGACAAGGAATTATCTACTACGAGCTGCTTCCATATAGCCAAACGCTCAATTCGGCCTTCTACTGCCAGTGCTGAAGTTAGCACTCATCCAGAAGGGGCCATCTTTGATCAACAGAGGCCGAATTGTGTTCCATCAGTATAACGCCAGGCCACATATGTCTTTGGTGCGCCAGATGCTCCAGGAGCTCGGATGAGCGGTCCACCTTATAGATCCTGTCCACGGAGAATGCGCTTAATGGTGAGAAGTTGGCCTCAAGAGAGGCCTGTGAAAATTGGATCAAAGCCATTAGGGATGCAGCCTTCTACGAGAGGGGTATAATGAAGTTGGCATCTCGTTGGCAACAAGTTTGCGAAGAAAACGGCGCATATTTGACTTATGTACACAAAGTGGAAAATCAATAAAAAAACCGAACGAACTTTTTACAATATAAGAATATGTCATTCTCTGCTCTAGATCCCAGAGGGAAAGAGTCGCCTTTCCACAGTAAACATAGAAACAAACTGACAAATTTTCGGCATAGTCTGCAGGGTAGTTTCGGAGATCAAAGAAAAGAAACGTTTGTATAAAATTTATAAAGGGTGATTTTTAAGCTACTAACTTTTTGGCAACACGGGCTTAAACAGCTGACGCACGATTCGTATTTAAATCTAATGTCTACACAGACAAGCCCGCTTCAATTGACGCATTCGAGGACAACATTGAAGCATTTATTGGTGAGATAACGATCGAAATGTTGGAAAGAGTATGTCAAAATTGGACTAAGCGGATGGACCATTTGAGGAGCAGTCACGGTCAACATTTGCATGAAATTATCTTCAAAAATTAAATTGCATGGACCGTACTATCGATTCAAACAAAGATTTAATGGATTTTTCTGAATTTTGTGTGCTTTTTAAAAACTTTCCTTTAGCTCCGAAAAAATCACCCTTTATATTATAGATTTGAAAATAATACAAATTTTTAATCATTCTAAAATCAAATGGGAGTAATTTCGAATTCGCTCGAATAATAAGTTGTTGTTGTCGAAACCAAAGGGGAAAATCAAACGAGTCTACCACACTTCATTGTTGACACACTTTGGCTTTTCTAAAATTATTTTAACCACAAATTCTTCCTCACCTCAATCAGTACGCGATCCCATTGAGCAGCGATATCATATGAATTATATGAGACACAGAGCCTCTGACTGGCAGAATTATACTGAAACACAGGAAAATGCGATTATGGGAGAAGTGGAGAGAATACGAAGGAAGCAAAAAACTGAAGAATATTGTAATGCATCTATAATGCAATGCTATTATGGGATAATAGGGGTTGGTGAGATAGACAAACGAATTTGTACAGCGGCAAGCAACAATTGCTGCGGCGTATGTGAGAACGAGAGGGCTTTGCTTGCATACTTTTAGGCTTACGAAAAAAAAGATTAATGAAGCAATTGCTGCTTGCAACACACACGCACACACACATACACATATAAATAAATGCTTAAATATATATTTATGGTCTATATAAATACTTGACATTCCCTTAGGACTACAAAAATCGCATTGAAACAATGTCTAAAGACTACGAACAACGTTTCAATCAACTTGAAGACAAGAATAGAAAACTTCGTTACGACATCGATAATATGAAGTTGCAACATGAATTTCTGTTAGCCGAAAAGGAGTATTTCCGACAACAAATCAGCGAAGTCTTAAATACTGGCAGTATGTCTGAGAAAGCGAAGCGTTCCAGGGGAAAACGCTCCCTACCGTCCGTGTCATCAACACAAGCAGCTTCAGTCACAAAGTTGCCTTCGTTTAAGAGCAAAACCGGAAAGATAAATTAAATGTACATACATACATACATATGTATACACATAAATATTTTCCTTATTGGAATTGTAATAGAAATAAATGTAAAATGCATTATTATAAACAAACAAATATGCGGTATTTATTGTTATAATTATAATTGATTATTATAAGTTCTCTGCTCGGACCACAGTCTTGTAGCAGCGAAGATACACATGCCCGTCTCTGAACCTCTTGTGGATTCTTATCCGGCCAAGCACTGTCACCCCCGCGACATTCCCCAATGCTTACTATGGGGAATATTTTTGCGGCTACAACAACAACAACAACATCCCCTTCGCTGTGCAGCAAAGAATGTCCGTTAACAAGCACATGAAAAGAGAAAATCCGAGATGAGTGCGGATGCAGAGCTTAAATAGTTGGACGACAACTCGAAAATTCCAGAAAAAGATGTGACAAACCGTGCGCTATATGTGGACGATGGCAACAAACGATGAGTCAGCGTTAGGGGTTTACGCGATAAATGTTTTGCGTACGAAATATGGTTCCAAGGAACGATGGGTCGTTTGAAATATACGGCGATATTGACATCCAGTGAATGAAGAGGCAGCGGTAGGTCATGTGGGCCGAATGGTAGATAACATTCCAGCGTTGAAAATTTCTGATAGAGAACCCGACGGTGTAAGCAGAGGAAGAATTACTCAACTTTGTTGGAAAAATCAGCTTGGGTTAAGCCCGACTACACTTTTTGTTTTTAGTTAACGTCAAACAGAACAAAAAGACCTGTGTCCAGGACCGTATAGAAGAAGAAAATGAAAATTATAATTTTTTCTAGTTTCCTCTCTGTGACTATACAAGCTTTATAATTTCAAATACCTAAATTCGGTTTAGTAATTTTGGAATTTATTTCTGATACGATTCTCGCTATTAATATAGTACAAAACTCCATACAAATGTATGCATATAGTTACATGTGTACATATCTAAATATTGTTTAAATTCATTTTCGTCTTCCTCTTAGAACGAGTGGATATGATGGATAATTGTGAACGCTTCCGTCTCAAACTCTTATGCCTTGAGCCGGGACGCTCCGCGATTTCCTTTATCCGCTGTTGCATATAAACCTTTTCGGCTGCTAAAAATTCACGTTGTAGCTTTATTTTATCTATATCCAGTTTTAATTTTCTATTTTTGTCGTCCAGTTCGCTGAAGCGGCGTTCATATTCTTCGGACATTGCATCAATTCGACTTTTGTAATCCTAAATTAAGGGAAATATTAGTACATACACATATGCAAAATATATTTAAGTATTTGCTTTGTTCTACAAGCATCACTTGTCACCTACGCCTAAAAGTAGGCAATAGTAAAATATATGAAGCAACAAAAGCTTGTATGAGGCAGTAGATGCTTGTAGCAGGATTTTGTTCCCTTTCGAGCCAAACCTCTATTATAGCGTAAATGCACTGAACCATAGATAAACTGCAATATTCTTCAGTTTTATGTTTGAAAAGAATCTTTCTTAAATTCTGCTCAATATCATCTTCCTGTTTGTCGCAATATTGCTGCCAATCGTCGGCCTTGTGCTTCAAGTAGTTTACATGATATCTTTGTTCGATCGGATCACGCACTGTTGAAAGAATTAAAAAATAAGAGAAATTAAAAAAAAAATTAATAATAAAATGTTTTAAATAATATATAAATTATATCACAATAAATATAGAAGAGAAATATATTAAAAGCAAAAAAGAAAACACAAGAATATTGATTGGGAATTTCTTGTAAAAAAATTCATGTGGGAATTTTGATTGAGAACAAAAACAAAATATCGAAATTTGTTTTTGGTTTACGTTTTGTCATGTAATTCTCAATAACGCCGAATAAATAATGTGAAAAGTAAATCATACGGAATATACATAAACAGAAATATTTAAGAAAAAAATAAATAAATAAAAAAATTTAAATTTAATTAAAAAAAAATTAAAATATTTTAAAAATAAAAAGAGAATCAAAATAAAAAAACTAATTAAACAGAATAAAATATGTTACAAAAAATTAAAAATATTAAAAAATTAAAAATTATAAAATATAATTAAAAACTCAAAAATGAAAAACATGCTTAAATATAAAACATTTAGAACCTTAAAATATTCTTAAAAACATAAAGATTAAAATAGAAATATATATAAATTTAAATATACCTAATAAATAAACAAATATAAATTTAAATTATTTTTAAAAAAAAAAAAGTTCAAATATTTTCAAAAATTAAAATAAAGCTATTAAAAAAATAAATAATATTGAAACATAACGAAACTTATAGTACAATTGACATATTTAACAAAAATTCAAATGGAACAGAATATATGTTAAAAAATATTAAACAAAAATTACATAAAATACTAAAAGGTTGAAGAAAAATTAAAAAAAAAAAAACAAAAAACTAAATTTAAAATATTTATTTGAAAATACAAAAATAAACATGAATACACTAGTTAAAAAATTAAATTTGAAATTTAAGTAAAATTAAATGGAATGAAATTTTTTATGCAATATAGAAGTTATCCAAAAAAAAGGGCAAAGGAATAAAAAATGGTAAATCCCTGCCATCAGAAGTATAAGTACAAAGGGCAGCTGCAAGGGCAGAAGAAGAATATTTTTTGCCATCCTTGAGAGTTTCGCGTATAAGTATTCGGTCTTCTTGTTTACTGCTTTCTTCCAATTTTTGATTTATTATTGTTGTTATTATTGTCTTCACAAAACGCCTGATAGCACATTGGACCGCGCACCGCGAACATCCTACCAAAGTGGCAATCTCAACCTGAGACTTACCTTCTCACTTAGAACTTGAATTCAAACTCTATCATCGTAATTAAATTCACTTTTTTTAGGCATTTCGGTAAATATGAACTGTCTTTATAAGATTGGTAGCTTTTCACTAAATGTAATTTACACTTTCACTTTCAAATTTTAAATGCTAAAACTGGATCACTTATAGCATCGTCGTGCAGTGCATTGCGGGGCAGTGAGTCCGTAAAAACGGGTTTCAAGTCCGAAACCGGAAACGGAAGCTTTTGTTGTGGGTTTGGTGGTTTTGGCTATTCTCCTACAGCAAAACTTTGGTTAACAGAAGTTAAATTGTGTTTCAATAAGACATCGCCAGATTACACACATTAATAATGACTCGCCGGAAGCTCCGACAGCTTGAGTGGAAGGTTCATATGCATCCAACTTATATGCTGGACCTCGCTCTAAGTGATTACCATCTCTTCCTGTCTAAGACGAATGATTCGGTTGGTGAAAAACTGACCCCAATAGAACCCTGTGAAAATCGATTGTCCCAATTTTTTTGCAAATAGAGACAGGCGTAGTGAAATTGCCTTCAAAATGGCCAAAGTTATAGAGCAAAAGGGTTCATATTTGTGAAAAATTCGATAATTCTAAATATGGTAAAAAAAACTTTCAAATTAATGTAAAATTATGCATTACTTTTTACTAGACCAATACATTAAAAAATTCAGATTAAACTTATTTATTAATTAATAAATAATTATTATAATTAATTATCAAAAAATAAAGAATAAAATAAAATATAATAACAAAAACATAAAAAAATATTAAAAAATTCCAGCTAAGTAAGAAAAATAACTGAAAAAAATATTTTCTAAAAAATACGCAAACAATAAGTTTGAATATTCGAAAATAAAAATGAAAAAAATAATAAAAAAATAAATTAAAATAGCTTATGATGTGTTAAATAATATCAAAAATTTAAACAACAATTACTACGTGGAAAACTCACCAACAAAAGCCAATTGTTCCATTTCCAAGTAATTCTTCACCACATCTCGCCCAACACTCCGGCGCTGCAGTGAAATATTTGTTAGCTGATTGATTTTCTCACAGAAATACGTTACATTCTTCTCGAGCTCTTGTGCAATTCTATCATGTACCGTAAGTAGATCGTTCGCATTACTAGAACAAATTAAGAACTAATTTTTAACAGTTACCAATTGCGGTCGCCCCTAGGCAGAGAATGTCAACCCCCCTCCGAGTGTATTTCGGACATGAAATAAAGGCTCCTCATACAAAAGCATTCAGGCGTTCGGAGGCAGCTTAGTATAAACTGTTGGGGAAAAACGTCAAGACGCAAAAATCACAAACTGGAAGAAGAGCTCGGCCGCGGTTGCAAAGCGCCAATTAAAAATTTTCATTAATTGTTTTTTCTTTTCACTTCAAAAACACACTCGGAGAGATGAATTTGATACTCTCTGTCGAGGGCAACTCTAAAATTACCAAACATTTTGTAGTTGTTGCTCGCTACAAAACTCGGACCTGTGACTCACAGTGGGATAACACACACTGTCAGCCACCCATTTAGGAAATACGATAATTAATCTCGTCAACGCGTCATAATTTAATGCAGTAGACTTTGTTTAATCCTCGTACTTGTATATGTCTCTTGTCAACATCAACATCAGTCCTCATACTAAGGACAGACTACCGCGAAATTGCTGTGGTGAGTCGGCAATAGCACGTTATGGGTCTATTGCGAACTAGTGACGTCTGTGTAAATTGTACAACGAAGTGTAATCTACAGGAATAGCCAGACCCTGGTTCCTCCAGGATTTCTGAAGACGACAGCCACGAGAGAAGTATTGAGAAAAGTGTTGACCGACGCTCTGTATGGCAGTCAAGGAATGTCAGTAGCACCTCGCCCACAACGACTATGCGCCCTAATGCTGAATGAACTGTATATCGTCTTGACTAAGGTGGCGTAAGGGATGCAACGATGACGAGTTCGGCTACACTGAATACATAGCTGTTGTGGTACGACCGACGGTATAATGAGGCCTATTGGCCTAAGTGTGCTGATGAAAGGTGTTATCAATACCACTTTCCTAATAGAAGCCTTTGAGAGGTAAAAAGTTTCGAGTAGCAGTCTGGACTGTTACTGGGTTGCGGTCACCTGACTGTTGGAATAGACTCAGCTTTTCCTCGGTTGAGCGGGAGTTTGTTGCTGGGCTCGTCGTCGAAAAAAAAATATAATAATAAGACTATATTTTGAGCTGCTGCCACGAAATGTAACAACTGATTTGAATATCTAGAAACTCGACGTAAACTTTCCAACAATAAAATGCGGAATGTTCCGTCATGAGAGCGCTAGATCTCAACCTTTCCTATAATCCTTTTACAAATAACAGATCTCATTTTTGACAAAGCCTCAGCAGACCAACTTTATTCTCTTTAGTTGAAAACCAAAGTCATCTCTCTACGAACAAGTCTACAAGATGCTCCTGCTATATGACGATGAGCCGGCGATAGCAGATTTGGAACGAAAGGTTTTGTGGGAGATTTGAAAGTCTGCGATACAGTACACGGCGATGGAAGCTGAAGGAGAGGAAGGCCTACACTTCTTTGGAAAGTTTGGGTAGAGAAGGACCTGGCTGTACCTGGTATTTCCAATAGTCTTTAGATAGCAAAATAGCGTAAGTGGTTATTATAGCCTAGATAACAACAGATCGGCATTTCTCCGCCAGTAAGAGGAAGAAGACTGTTTACATTCCGCACCCAGCGATTGACTCTAGATCGAATGCTAAGGCTGACAAAGATCCAGAAATAGAACTGTCTTCCATTTAACAGGCTTTTGATTTTTGAGGGAGATGTGGGTGTAATATAACCATGCGTCGAGCACATTATCTACCGGCAAGGTGCCTTCACTAACAGTAAAATAAACCCGAGTAAGTTTGTTTCACTTACTCTATTATCCCTTTGGACTCCTTGATGTAGTCATCATTAACGGTGCAGAAACTTAACAAAAGTGGTTTTAGAAGACGCACCAGCTCCATAATATCATAACGCAATTTGAAGGCTTCCAAACATTCGACCGTTAAAGATTTCGTGAAAATATCCACCCAAGCGATACCTCTCATCTGACGTCTGGCAAAAAACCGATCGTCCGTCCAGCCGAACACGTGAAAATGTTCATAATCATCCAGTTTGAAGTCTTCACCTCTACACAAATTCGTCTTGTAGATCATATACAAGGAATTATTTACATCGTTGGCCAATTTCTCGATCGCATTCATGCGTGATGTTATATAATTCGTTTCCTTTCTCTGCTGGACTTCATACCAAAACCGCTCGGCATCGCGAAGAGTGAAGGTGCTCGAAAAGTTGCGTATGTTTTTGGTGAATGAATCATGAATTTCATTCCAGCGTGCCGGAAGAAAGTTCCCATAACTGTACATCGAAAAATCATCCATCTCTTTTACTGCCTCTATCTCTTCATCGCTTTCGGCATCTTTATGTTTCGTCCAGTCGATCTCCGGGTAAGTCTCTACAAATTTCTCAACAAGACTATCCTTCAGATTTGGCGGCAAGCGATTTAACGAGCGTCTCATTACCGACAATATCTTTTCGTGATCTTCATCATCCATGTCATACTGGAAAATATCGGCGAATTCCACTTCATCTCCGCCATAAATACTCTTACGGAATTGTGCTATGCTCTTTCTCCCTTGCTCGATACCCTCCATTTTACGAGGTTAGCAGAAATTTCTTTATAAAATTTGACAAAAATCGCGTTGAACAGGCCACCGATATGTTCGCGTCGTTTGTCGTGACAAAGGCCAAAGATGACGTAGAAGGAATTGCAAAAAAAAAAATTACTAAAAAATACTGCGCCCATCTGATAACACGGAACGGAGGTATAAAACGCGTGTGCGCTCTACAAAAAAATATCTTTATGAATGTAATAAATTTTTGAAAGAAAAAATATTTGAAAATAACATGAATCGCCTTGTAGGGTCTGGCAAAGTGTTTACCGAAACAAACCAAGGAAGTCAGCAACGGTCGGTATCAATAGGGTTTCCGAACTGAGTTAAGGCGATCTTATAAGACCACATAATTGTATCCAAAAGTTTTCAAGAGGTTTCGGTGCCTTGAAAGCAGCAAACGCATTGACGAGCCGCCTACTCCACGACCGATGCTCGCGCGCAGCAGCAACACGATTGAACAGACGCTGCAATAAGACTTAAGGGAACCACGAAACTGAACTTGTCGGAAGAGCCCGACTTCAGAAAGTTTTTTGACCGCAACAGACTCACACAAACTTAGTTTATGCAGGGTACACTTCTCCCTACGGAGGGCACACTTCTCCCTACGGCGAGAGCCAATGATTTAGCTCCTGAGCTATTCAGATATGAAGGCGAAGCACTGACCAAATGCATGCATTGGTCAGATGAGTGTAAAACTGGCGATTTGAAACTGAAGTGTGATCTACTCAATTCATAAAGGGAGCAACCCCGCTAACAGTCGCCGTCGACAACCGGATTGGAACTTAAACGATCGGACGATGAGATATATAAGATTAATTTACAGAGCTCAGTGGCTGCGATGGCTGGGAAATGTTGTCCGGATGTACGTAAACTCGCCAGCTCGGAAAGTATGCGATACAGTATCCGCCGATAGAAGCAGAGGAAGAAGAAGACCTCGACGAAGAAGCGATGGGCGCGCTAAATATACTCGCGTAAGCGATGTCTACATACCTACGTACATACTATTAAGAATTCAAATTTTATGTGCAAAGCGTGCCATTAAAATATTTATATATACATGTATACGTATGTATATATATATGTATATATATATATATATATATATATATATATATATATATATATATAAATATATTGATAAGGCCTTCAATCTACATTGCCCATACATTTCCATCTCGTCGACGAACAAAAGAGATTAGAAACAAGAATACCAGCTTCTACCCAAATCAATTGACTTTCAAGTTCGATAATTTTTCGAAAATTTAGTCACATCCTACAGCTCAGGCTAGACAGTTCGAAAGTTGCAGTTCACGAATTTTCAAAAAAATCAAAAATCTAAAATACAGAATGTCTGCTTTATTTAAGTGTCTTCTTGGTCTCTTTGTTGTGCTGTGCTTTGTGCAGGTCAGTAAATGAAAGAATCTACATACATACATATTTCCAATGAGGACTTTCAATGAAAACAAATACAATTAAGTGATTTTAATATTACAATAAATATTGGGTACATTTTTTTTCCAGTTCATCGAAATGGCCCGCGTTCCTCGCGACGACAGTGCGGCCAAGGATCTTGCACAAAAGTTGGGAGAACTCGGTCCGAGTATAAATAAAATTTTTGAACAGGAATCGGCTCGTTTGAAGGAAGCGTTGAATAATGAGGATTTCAAGGTAACCAAAAATAAGCATGATATACATATATATATATATAGGGATGCGATGTACTAAAATATAATTTGGTTATTGAAAAGTGGTATTTCTGCGGTTTCTAATTGATAATAGTTTTTTTTTTGTTTTGAAGTCTAAATCAGTTAGTTCATTTCCGAAATTTAGAAAGCTTTTGAAACGTTTGGCCCTCGGCTCTTGAATGGCTTGATTTTCTCTGACACGTATATAATTTAATCAAAATTAATTTATCGTATTGTATTATATTCTAAAGTCATTTATTTTATTTTATTTTTTTTTTTATTTTATTTTTTTTTTAATTTTTTGGTTTGAAATAGTTTATTTTTCATCATTTGTTTCATTTTATTGCTATTAATTTTATTTTCTTTCATTTTATTTTACTTTAATTATAATTTTATTTTTTTTTTTATTATATTCCAGTAAATATCTTTTATTTCATTTAATTAAAATTAAACAATTAATTTTCTTTTTAATTAAATTGAATTCAGTTTATTTATATTTCATGTTGTATTTAATTATTTTATATTATTTTATTTTATTTTATATTATTTTATTTTATTTTAATTTTTTATTCTACTTAAATTTTTTATTTTAGTTTTAATTTATATTTTCTTTATTTTTATTATTTTATGTCATTTTATTTAATTATTTTATTATATGTATATAAGTAAAATATATAAAATAAATTTTACTTTATTGCAGTTTTATTTTATTTTTCTTTTAGATTTTTTTATTCTATTTATTTTTTTTTTACCCTTTTTTTTGGTTTATTTTTTTTTATTTCATTCTATTTTATTTATTTTTTATTTTCTTTGATCTAAGATTTAATTTAATTTATTTTAGTCTATAATATTTTATTTTATTTTGCAATTTATTCTAAAAGATTTCATTTTTATTTTAATTTATTCTACTTAAGTTATTTTTTATTTATTTGATTTTATTTTGTTTTGTTTAATTTGATTTGATTTTAATCTTTTATTTTATTTAACTTCTTTATTTAATTTTTTTATTATTTTATTGTTATTTTATTTTTGTTTTTAACCCTTTTTATTATTTTTTCATTTTTGTTTTAGTTTATTCTATTTTAGTTATATGTTATTAAATTTATTTCATTTTGTTTTATCTAATTTTTTATATAATTTTTTATTTGTTTTTTTATGTTATTTGTTTTTTTTTTTTGCTGCTATTTTTTTACTTTTATGTTTGTTTTATTTTTTTATATATTTTATAGATTTCATTTTTATTTTATTTTACTACAGTTATATTTTGTTTTTAAATTTTTTTAATAATAATAATATTATTTTTTATATAAATTTTTCATTCGTTATTAATTTTATTCTTTTTTTTATTTTATTTTAATTTGTTTTATTGCATTTTACTTAATTCTATATCATTATTCCTTTTTCAGTTCAACTTTAGTGGGTTTTATTTACTTTACTTATATAATTTTAGTTTTTTAAATTAATTTGATTTTTTTCTTCATTTTATTTTTTATTTTGTCTGATTTTACCTCATTTTTATTTATTAATTTTAAATTTATTGCCTTTTATATTAGTTTAATTTTATTTAAGTTTTATATTATTTCACTTTTTTATTCATTCTTATATTATTTTATTCTAGGTATATTTAATTTTATTTTTTAAATTTTGTTATATGTTATTATATAATTTTTTTATTTTGTTTAATTTTATTATATACATTACTTATTCGATATTATTTTATTTTAGTTATTTTATTTTAATTTATTTTATTTACTTTACTTATATAATTTGAATTTATTTAATTGAATATTTTTTTTTTTGATTTTTCTTCAAAGTTATTATTTAATTTTATTTTAAATTTAGTTTATGTAATTAAATTTAATTTTTTTAATTTAATTTAGTTTTGCTTTGTTACATTTTAGTTTTATTTTTTATCTTATAATTTGATATTATTTAAATTTATTTAAATTTTTTTAAAATTAATTTTAACTGTGTTTTAGTTTATTATTATTTATTTTTATTTTTTTTATTTTTTTCTCATCAACTCCTGCCGATATATGAGCTTAAAAAACCTTATCATTTTCAGAAACTGATGGAATCCGGTACTCAACAATTCAATCAATTCCTTGAAAGTTTCAAAAATATTGGAGAGAAGAAGGCTTAAGTTTCAGTGCTCATCATAATTGCTTAAGTTACAAATCACTTGTGAAATAAAAAATAATGAAATAAAAATAATAATTGGAAAACTAAACCTTAACCTGGGTTGTAGGATGTTTTAAAATTCGGTTGGTTGGATGTATGTGTTATAAACGATCGTATACACGTAAAACCACACGACAGAAAATGATACAGTGCTTCTACGGTTAGTATTCAGCGATCGTTGTATGACCACTTCATTTCGGGGGTTCAAACACACGAACTTGCTACGTTAGCAAAGAGATTGTTCAGGGAGACGTCGTGACTCGGTTTGTGTGAGTGGTGGCTTTGAATAAAATACTACAAGAACTCAACTTGAACAGTATCTGAGCAGCATATGCAGACGATTGAGACTGTGCTAATGATAAAATTAAAATTTCGCAATTTAATCTTCCTTCTCTCAATGACCTTTCACTCTCTTCCTTCTAGAGAGTAAAATATTAAAGATTTTCAATTTAGAAATTCGAAAATTGAACAAGCAAATCAGCACTGAAATGTGAAAAGGAAGTGTAGTAAGAATATCTTCAAGATTATACTTCGCTAATTGCACTCAATTGAGAATGCCAGCGGAGAAGAAATTTATACTGAGAGTTTGCAATTCATTTACGATGTAGACGAGTAAGAGAAAACGATTTTATATATTTTTTTGGTGGTAAAAATTTGTTATATGGCAAAAACGGTTTATTTTTACGCCGAATTTCGGAGTAAAACATCCGTTCGTGCTCAAACACTTTCTTTTATATGTATCCTCATGATGGGCTATCCATTTCGTAGTTCTAAGATATGGGGTAGTATTTGGGCATCTGTCAAACTTAACTGTCAAAACAAGCATGTTCTTTTATAGTTAAAGGTCCGACGCTTATGAAAATGGATCGGTTTAAAGTTGTTAAAACCTACTAGAAAAATGGTGATTCAAAGGTGGTCACGTTCCATAATTTTAGATGAGATTTTGATGCACTTAATTATCCAACTACTCAGGCAATTGATAAAATTTTAAAGAGATTGGAAGACACTGGATTGGTTACAGAGATTGCAAGGCCTATTCATCACGTGGCACCTCAAATAACGCGACTGTAAGTAAAGATGTAGCCGAATTATCGAATGTGCCTGTTTCTCGATGTTCTCAAGTGCTGACTCTCTCACGGCTCTAATAATAGATGACCGAAAGTTACCTCAAACGCATTGTAGGTTAGGGAAATTCGCGAGGCGGTCCTTTGAAAATTGGATGGTTTGACATATAATGCAAGGGTTGAATCTTTATAATGAAAAATTAATTTCATGAAAAATTTTTTTAAATGTATTTTATT